GCATTTAGCCTATCAGCTGATTTCATAAAAACTTAAATTATATATATATATATATACATATATGTATTTTTTTAATGAGCAAAATGCAAATTATCTGAAATCATAGAAATTATAAGTAAAACAAAAAATGTGTGCAGGACACTACGAAAACACCTATTAACTAAATATACATATATATATATATAAAGTTAAGAATTAACAGACTAGTTACCAAAAAAAAAGATATTAAGAAAACTATATAAATAAACGCATACATTTCAATACAACCGCAATTAAATATTTACGCCCTACTAAAAATTTAAATGTTTATATAAATATTTTGTATACAAAAAAAAAATAAATAAATACATAAAGCGAAAAAAACAGCAATATAGATTAAAAATGTTATAGTTTCATTACATGTTGCCTTTAAATTTTCTTTGTTTTCTTATTCTACTTTTAATAGTAAAATTATTAAGGTAACAATATACACTAAAATTCTCAGATTAGTCCCACCAAAATTTCAAAAACTCAATCTCATTATTTTGAAATAAAAAATGAACATATATACAATATGGAATTTATATATAAATAAATTAAAACTAAGCTTCTTTTATTTTTTTAATAAAGCATTACGTTTCAATCCACTAAAGTTTTACAAAGCAAACAAAAAAATAATTAAATCTAATATGAAATAAAATAGAAAAATAAAATAGAAAAAATAAAATAAAAAAAAAGAAATAAAAAATTAAAATAAAATGACAGGCGCTACAAAATGTACATGAAACATAAATAACATATATATAAAAAATATGCATTACCAAAAACACTTATATATTAAAAAAAAAGAAAAACAAAAAACAAAAAACCAAAACAAAACAAACAAATTATATAGAAATATTAAAATAGTCATTTAAATTAATATTTAATTTAAGGCATAGCAAACAAAGTATGAAAACTAATGACAGTAGTCGAAGAAGAAGAAGCAAAAAAAAATAAGAAATCTGCTCATAATTACAACAAAAAATAGCACAATCGTCATATAAAACGTTAACGATTGTGGATCTAAAAGATATATACATAAAATTACTATATTTTACCACATGTATTAAACATAAGAAATTCAAAAATATATATATTCATATATATATATATTTAAATAAATAAACACATATTAACATATATTTTTCAAATTTGTTCGTGATGTTTTTTATACGATTTTCTTAAATTTCATATGAATGTGTATCTACCAATTATAAAAATAAATAAAATATAAAAGAAATTATGTAAATGCAAATATATATAAATACATATATATTAATATATATTACTACCATCAGAACTTTAATAAAGGCATGAGTTGTTTAATTTAAAATATTTGATTATTAATTTGAAATTTAATATAGTATTTTATTTGAAATTATCAATCTGGTCACAGTGCTCCGCTCCGTTGGGAGCTAGTACCCCGTTCATTCCTATTGATATTCATTTGAAATTACTCTCAAAATTACCTTCTTCTGGCATCCTCATCTCCCAATGGAGCATAGGGCCTCGACACCAGAGATAACATCCTAGTTTTACCTTTCGAAACGGCCAACAGAAGTTGGTTTAGCCTAATAAAGTAAATTAGATCTTTAGGCTGATCCTGAGAACTTAAGCATCTCAACACGAATTTTAAAAATCAAACTGGTTGTTTCTCTATCTGATACCTACAATATGCATTAAAGACATTGCTCATTTGATCATAATAACATATGAAACAGACACGTAAACGAACAAAGAACTTAGCACTGTGCAATATGGAAACACCAAACCAGAAGAACCAACCCATAATGGAATACTCCAAGGAAAAGAATTAATAATAAGAAGAAGAAGACACAGATGTTTCCTAGTCAAAATTTTAACAATCAGCTACTGCTCTTTAAAACTTAACTGTCATAACACAACGAGCCCATCTCTAAATGTTGTAAGTGAATTTATCTTTTATAAGATTAATTTCAACGGATATATATCTATCTGTTTTTATTTATTGTTAAACTTACAAAACAATAAGTTAGACTTAAAATTATCATAGCACAACGAGCCCATCTCTAAATGTTGTAAGTGAATTCATCTTTTGTTAGATTAGTTGCAACGGATATATATCTATATGTATCTTCATATATTATTACACTAAGTAGATAGTAAGACTTATATACATATATAGAAATGTTAGCAAATACTTTCTGACAGATTATGTATATATGTAAACTTCCTTTTCATTATCTCAATTAGCTTTATTGATAATGTAGATAGTTTGTTAACCTATAATAAAATATTAAAGCATCTGGTTAAACGATATGTAGTTTTATTGCTTAGTTTAATAAAATACTGAAGCATGAGGCTAAACATCTTTAAATAATAATATTGTAAAAATCCATGTTAGTGACTGTCCATCTTTAATCTGAACAGTAGTGGGAATACTACAACAAGAACCTCTATCCCGTTTGGTATTATAAAATATGCAATGAAAAATTTTTCTAACTTTATTTAAAAGATTAAGCGAATTTTTGGGTTATGTTCCGCAGTCTTCCGATCCGTTTGATATCCAGAGACATCTTATATATTTATATGTATTTTTAAGCACAAAACTTGCAGGAAAAACTGAATAACTGGTATTTAAAAAACTATATTTATTTACTATATTTACAGTACAATAATTAAACCTCAGAATCACATTTTTGTATGAATTTTGTATAAAAAATAGTATTTATTCCTGCTCATTTTTCGAATTAATTGCAATAGGGTAAACATACTAATAATGTCACTTATTTGTCTCTCATTGGCTTTTTTTTTTGTTTTTTTTTTTCATTTTAGAATTAATTTTATAAACTATAAGAAAATTAAATATCAAAACCACGAACTAGCTATATAGTTTTTATAATACATTTCTTTAAGATTTAATTGTGAGAATTTTTAAGAACTGACTGAATCTTATTCTGAATAGGATTCATTTATTGTATCGAATTATCCAAATCGTTCCGAATTTTTATGAATTTTTCAACTTAATTTTTAGAATAATAAATAATTGTACAATACAATAATTGTACTGGAAACATTCAAATAAACTACTTTGCTTTGTAGCAACATCAGGATAGTTCGAGTTATACCATAGACTTTATTTCAAAAAAACGGTGGTGGTTTTATATTTACAATACATAATTTCTCCTTTCTATTTAAACTAAAATTTATGTAATGTTCTATAGATGTAAATATTTAGCACCCTTATAGAGCATTTCAGTAAAAAATTATTTTACTAACTACTTGTAGTACATATATTTATTATAGTCCATATAATTTCATATATTTATTTTAATTATATCAGCTTAGGCTACCTTAAATATATTTCCTGTAACTATAGTAAATACATTGCAATTTAATTTATATATTCTTTAAAAATTTATTTCATATATAAGAATTAAATTTAAAATTTTTATGATTTTATTACAATTTACATATTACAATTTTTAATATATTTCATATAACATATTAATATACAACAAATTCTTAATCATAATTAGTTTATGAAATATTTTCAAGTTCTGTGTTTATTCTAATTAATGCTATAAATCTGTTTTGTTTTATTAATAAATAAAAAAATTATAAGATTTATTAAATTTCCAAACACATTACTTAAATACTTTTAATCGATTACAACATAATTGTAACTGAGCAATGTGTATCGATAGTTTGAATACATCAACCGAGCCTGACACATGAAGTCATTTTCGATTGCTTAACTTAAGGTAACCTTTTCAATCGAAATTATTTTTATTGCAAATTATGCTCAATTGAACAACAAAATTTAACAGATTGATATTAAATCTAAATTGAATACAATCAAAAACGCCATTATAATCTCGTATTGAAATCAGTATGAAAATAATAATACGGCTGTTGATAAATGCTATTAAGCATTTTAAACCAGTGTTAAATTTTCGAAAAGTTTAATTGCAATATATAAACGCGTTTATTATTAAAGCCTTAAGAAATAGTTTAAAGTTATGATACAAGCCTTAAAACATAGTTTTAAATTAATATACCAAGATGTTATTTGTGCAACACGATGTATATGCCAAAAATACACATACACTTAGTTGAAAAATCAGCAAATAAGGAAATAAAAGAAGCCACAAGGACTAATTTCACAGTTCGTGTGAAAACTTAGCAAATTAACTTACACTGTATGATGTTAAATTACTAAAATGTCAGATCTTAACATTTCATACAAAATATTTACCACAATTTGGTACTTGAACATATTAATTATTAAGCAACAATTTAGTACATTTAATAGAAATCGTAAGGAAGCCTGATATTAGTTATAGGCATATATAAATAAATATTTCAAAGCAAATAATCTAAGTAAATATATAATGATAAAAATTATTTATGTTTGTAAAGTTTTCTGTTAATTTGAATAAAAAACTTTTAAGTTAGTTTTTTATTTTTATTCTATATATAATTACAATCTATACAAATATGTAACCAACTTAATAGTCTTTTAATTAAATTCACAAATGCATATAAAAACAAAAATATAATAAAACGAGTAAACTCATAAATATTTTAGTTATAACAATTATTTGTAGTTTTTTATGTGGCGTCAGTATTTCTTTTTCTATATTATAAAAATAAAAATAACAATACCAACAATTGGATCCAATTCGAACACAATGAGAGTACGAAAACTATTAAAAACATTTTATTCTGCTTACATTGAAAATTTTTAAAAAACTTTACTGTGAATAGTTTTCTTTAATGTTATAAAAATTGCAATCTTATCATACATTATAAAAATGTTATCATACATAAGAAACCATACAAAATTGAAATAAAATGAGTATCATATTATTATTTTACAAACGCATTACAGACAATAAACAAGTAATTTTGTTCATACTTTCCGATCAACTTTCGATAAATGAATGAAGAGTAATCGGTATTTGCATACGAATTAATCGGTTTATGGCAACCGATGTCGTGCTTTGCCCACACTCCGCCATTTGAAACCGAACGTTTACGTTGTCTTGAGCGTGTGCGACGGGAAGTTTTAGAGAAAAGCCGCAAATTGGTTAATATTTTTGTTACATTAGTTAAGTGTTACTAAATTGAAAAATTGTAAACATGGCTGACGAAAAAAAGGTAAGGGCAATTCAGTTTAATATTAACGCAGTAAAATAAAAATTGCAAAAAAATTTGTTTTGAATAAATTGTGTACCGAATAAAAAAAAAAACGCGAACGACGCCGACAACATGGCGCGGCTTCTTAACAAACAATTTTTACTAAGTTTTTGGTTTATAACAATAACAAAGTTGGAACATTTTATGAAAAGATCTATAACTATTTAATTTTATATTAATGTTTATGTTTTTAAGAGTAGTTTGAAAGAAGTAGTGAAATTGCAAATTGTCGCTGCCGGGTCAGCGGCGTCTCTGCCCTCGCTTCTATAGTCAGCAGCAGATGGTGTGCGACATGTTTCTTTTCAATCATGAAAAAAGATTACGATTTAGTATTTTTTTTTTATAAAGCTAACATTTTTTGAAAGTTATAACATTTTAAAATGGTTGAGAAAAAATTGTAAAAATAATTTACCTAATGTAAAGTTTTTTTCTGTGCGCACAGTGGAACAAGAATATAAATTTTTCGTGTCGAGTTTAGTCTTGAAAGCTAATTAGTAATGATGATTTTTATTCGAAAATTTATATTAGAATACATAATTTTTTCATATATATATTTATTATTATAAATTTATTCCAAATAATAATATAAATTATTAAATATTGGGTAATATCTTGATTGTATTATTTATTTTCTATTTTTAAGGCCGCAGAGACCGAACACATTAACCTTAAAGTACTAGGGCAGGACAATGCCGTTGTGCAATTTAAGATTAAAAAGCATACACCACTACGCAAACTGATGAATGCATATTGCGATAGAGCCGTAAGTGAAATCTATTATCTTTAACATACCAATTTTGTATTAATTTAATTTTCTTTTATATATCAGGGTTTGTCAATGCAGGTAGTACGCTTCCGTTTCGATGGACAACCTATTAATGAAAATGATACCCCAACCTCATTGGAGATGGAAGAGGGAGACACCATTGAGGTCTACCAACAACAGACTGGGGGTTTCTAAAATGCAAATATTTAAAAACTAATCATAAATATTATAATAAATATATGGAATTAAAACACTTACCCCTTTTACAAAATAAAAAAGAATTTTATCATAACTAACTTTAAATTACATCTAAAATAAAAAATGAATAAGTAAGGCGATAAGATTTGAATTGCTCTTACTCTTGTCTTCATTTGAACAGTTTGACCGAATCTTAAATAAACGTAAACGGTAATGTTTTATTCCATACACGACAAAATAGTTTGTTTAAGAAATTCATTAAAATGGAAAATTAATACATATAAAATTAGTTTTAAAATAATTTAAATGTAATTTAAAACAAAGTAAGAATAAAGAAATATCAAAACAAAACTTATTACATGGCCTTTTCTTGTGGATTTCTGATTGTACGCAATTTGTCCCACTGTGCTAATATGAGTCATGTACAGTTTCTAAAGAAAGTTCTAGATAGGTATATATATTTAAAAAAAATTTTCTATATAATAGTTAAACGATATTTATAAAATTTGATTATACAGCGAACAAGCAAAGACATGCACGGTGTAGAGTTTCATAGTTTACGTATTATATTTTCACACGTGTCTTAGGCGAGATTTAATTCCATGTAAGCTCCACAAAATATTTCACGTTTAATTATGTTATCTATATATGTGGCATGTAATAGCGTTTTTATTATTATGCATAACAATAAACTGGGATGATGAAGGTACTAAGGACGCCCGACCTACATCCTGGAGCCACTAGTCGATTTCGATGATCAAGTGACATCCACAACACCCCCAAAGCGACTATACAAGCAGTTCCCTACGGACTGCAACAACAACAGCATAGTGTAAAATTTATATAAGGTAAAATTATTTATTAAGGTAAGTTCCCGGAACTAAGCTCCACTTTTGGAAGCGAAAATACTGCTAAAAATTTAATTAATTTTAAACGGAATCTAAAACTTAATTAAATGATGTTGTAAATATGTTAACAAATCATCATCATTTATTCTTTATAAACAAATGTTGCCTATATAATGACATCATTACAACAACATAACAAAAAAAAATATAAACACGTGTTTGCTGAACTAACATAACCTAAAAAAATGACAATAAAAGATATCGTTTAAATTGTATTTTATTACACAAATAGTTGTGTAGTTATGAAGGTGTCACAAATAAATATAGAATGAGTATATTTCCTCTCTATATTTCAGAAAAGAAAAGCCATGTAGGATAGAAAAGTTCTACTGATGGGTAACAACTCCTTTTTTGTTTCCATTTATATTTGTAAAATTTGTTGCAGTTTGTATTTATTTCCTCCACTAAATTTTTCCTAAAGACTATTAAAAATCCTAAGTGTTTTATAGGCCCATAGCTATAAAGTATATTTCGGGATTTTCAGATAATTTCAATAATTTAAAAAAAATGTTTAATGAATATACATATGTACATATACATACATTTTTAATGTCTCGAGGATCGCTTTTTCATTGGCTTGGAAGAGATAACGAAAGCAAACTTATCGGATCTCCTTAACTTCATCTGGAAAACCAAATGGTTTAACAAGGATTACAAAGGTTAACAACTCACCTCTCCCGGCAAAATTTTTGAGGGCATCACAATGGGCAACATATGCCTCCGAATGGAAGTGCTGACAACGGTCAGCACGCGCCTTCCGAACCTAACCTAACCTATACATACATATGTATTAATTAAATTTTCAATTAATTTCGAGAGTAGCTTCGGTTCTTGAATCACCCCCTCTGGTTATATTCCAGCGTTTTCCCTTTCGGTAGTATGTTTCTTTTTTTCTTGAAACTTTCCAACTATTTTTAAATAATATATACATTCATATGTGTGTATGTAGTCCTTTCGTATCAAAATCCTAGATACAACACTGCTAGTATAAGGAATATATATGTATATGTATGTGCCATGTGCATATAACTTTATAGACTAGGTAATGTGATGTGAAAAATATGTATATCATAACCAAATATTTATGTATGTATTTTTTTCCAAAAAACACCTTTGTTGTTGTTAGGCAAGGGGAAGAGAGTTTCGCAATTTAATGTAACTCATTTTATTTTTTTTTTCCTAATCACTTTTTTAGATACACATGTAAGCAATATGAATTATATACATATCTTTATAAAAATGGAACTTTTATGTGTTATAATGTATTACCACCAGAAATACGTATTTATATTAAAAAAGAACTTCTCTAGTTTATTTAATAAGAGGAACATTTTGTTCAATAAATTAATTATTCAATAATTAATTGTTGTTATTGACACCCAAATGAAGATTCTGAATCTTTATATTGAGTGAATCCCTGCTGAAACCTCAGTTAGTGACTCTTTGTCGTATATGAAACAAATGGTTTCCAAACGTATACTCAAAACACGTACCTGTATGTGTTGCGTGTACGTCTAAATGACCTCTGGTCGCCGAACTCAACGAATTGCATCGGGACATAGACTAGGCCATTCGGAGATCCTTGTGAGCTACAACAACAAGATGTATATATTATAAAGACGCTATTGAAAATACTGTTTATAAAGTATGTGGATCGTGCATCACATATTTTTAAGTGGTTTTTCTTATTTCATTTTAATTTATTATTAAGAAAATAGACTTAATTTATATTATATATCGAAAACATTGAAAAACAAACGTTCATAATTCCAATCAAATCACGACTTAGCTAGTGAAAACTTCTTTTGAAATGTTATTTAAATCACATGTAAGTAATTTTATTCTATCTGTTCTACCTACCAATGATCTTGACTTTAACCAAATGTGACTTATATTATTTTACTCCAAGAAATCAAAGTATCTAATTTTTAAAACAATTCTCATAAATATGTCTATGTATTGCTATTTAAACCTGATTTAATATTTTTAAATTAAATCATTTAAAATTCAAATACATAATTAGAAATAAGAAATTTAAAAATAAAACTCATTTGACACTGATTGCATTATTGAAATACTGCAATTAAGTTCTGAGTTCTTCAGGATTCAACATTAGT